CAAGTCCTCCGACCAGCTGCACCAGCTGACCCATTTGCTGTGTCAGCGAACTGATCTCAGACCGCAGGCTGTCGATCTGCTCGCTGCTATTTGTGTCTCCTGCCTGCGAGTCGTCCGGATTGGTCCCTCCAGTTCTGCGGCCCGCCATCCCTAATGGACTCCCTCGAGGTAATAAACACTAGTGTGTTGGTATGTCCGTACTTGGGAGGAGAAGACACGCTTTAACTCTCTCTGATTAGGCACCCGCGGGAGCGAGGAAAGGAAGGGAAGAAGTGGCCCTCCCGAATTCGGGGANGGAGCGAGGAAAGGAAGGGAAGAAGTGGTCCTCCCGAACTCGGGGAAGGGGGCCCACACATAGTAGCCTTTTTCAGGCATACGCATGCTCCTGTCTACGTACCCCCCCGTGCTGCTAGCAGATCTACCATGCTCGTATCCAGACACACGAACACTGCTCAGCCAGTCCTTACTCGTGTGTGTGCGCGGCTTGTGTTTAGTTCATTGGCTTCGTTATTTTGTGCTAGCCGTGGACTTGACGTTCGGTATTGCTGCATTGGGTGTCGGCAGGTACAGGCGCCACTGCTGTTGATGCACTCGCCGATGCGCTGCGACTCCCTTGGGTGCGTTACAGCTCAATTTTTGTTGTGAAGCCCCTCTTTGTTTTGTCCCTTCTCCCTCTTTTGCCCGTGCCCCTTCTCCTCATGTTTTAACTCATGGGTATTCTTCGCCGCCAGAGCTCCCACGAAGAAACAATGCGAGGACATCCTGAAACAGCACGCTCTACCGAGCAAGCCTCGCGCCTATGTCCAGATCATTGACGATTGGAAGAGGCATGAGTGGGCTCACTCTGGTGGGCCCCCCGACACCGCACTCCAAGACGTTGTCACGAACAACCTTTCGGAGCAAACCAATTCGGCGGTTGGTGTCGAGGTAAGGCTACTCGTCGCACGAGATACTTCTTATGTGGCTGCCGGGATCGGTGTTGTAAATACGAAAATACCAAAATGCCAGGACGATGTTCGTTCCGTTTGTTGTGCACCATGTATGACCGGTAGCAGTAGTATTGGTCGGACAACAAGCCGCGAAGACTCGAACACGTTACTGTAGATTCCATGTCGGGGTCACCCACCCACTCGTTGGAAGGCAAGCGCACCCCGCGTAGCAGTGAAGAGACCGATAGTAGTTGTTTTTCCAGAAAAGAACCTGAATACAAGGCTTTTTCGCTGACGTGAATGTACACGAATGTACACGTGCGCCTCCCACGACCCCTCCACCGCACCCCCCGCGCTCCCGCGCATTATTGGTCGAGTTGTGGGTGCACCCCTACCCTGTTTTGGTGATTCTCTTGTACCAATGCAAGGCCCCGTGTCGACCACAGAAAGTAAGCGAGCATGGTTGGTTTCGTTCCAAAAGTAGCTTGATCATGTTGCAACTTAGTCGGCGATGACTTCTCACAGGCTAGGAAGCTACCGCCACTGGAGCTGATGAGGAGCATCCTCGCTGATACCGCCAAGAAGTTCGCCAACCGTTCCAACCTCGGCAATGGCACATGGACACCCTATGCTGTCGCGACGTTCGAAGAGCAGAGGAAGAAGTCCGCCGGGTAAGTGACAAGAGTGGAGAATGAACGGCCGCGTTTGGGTTTTTCTGTGTATGGGTACGTCCTCTTGTGGTTTCGAAGAGACAACCTAGTTCCTGGAGGACTTTCCTGTACTTGCACGGACGGGTGGTGGGTTGCCAACGGGTGGGTGTCCCATGACATGTTTCGAGGTGCACGCACGCCGCCGAGATTCACATGTACTCACATGCACGCCTTTGCCACGCGACGTTCATTGTTCCAGGCTCGTCGCCTCCCTCACGGGCAACCAGTTCTACACGGTCGAGAACACCAACCTCGCCACCCTCAACACCCGCGGCAACAGGGTCCTGCTGAGGTGGGGCGAGCCGGGGCAGAAGACGGAGTGGTCCTGCACATGCGGGTTCCCCGCGAGATTCCAGATCCCTTGCTGCGACGTCATTGCCGTGGCTAGAGGTAAGCGATGTACCTAGTGGGCACAGCAGTAGTCTTGTGACCGAAAAAAACGATGAGCGTGAACCTCGTGTTGCCAGGAGCCCCCCAGCAGCACTCTGTGAGTGTGTTGTTGCGGAATCGATCGGATCACTTGCGTGCTTTTTCGCGTGTTCACACGGCAAACCTGTTGTTGCGCTGCATGCTCTGTCTCTGTCCTCTTGTCATTGTGGCGGGTTTTTTGTTTTCTGTGTGTCTGTGCATTTTAGTTGTTTCCTGCGTGTTTTTTTTTTTATCTCTTTTGTCCTGTCTTCCCCGGATAGTGTATTTTCTCTATCTTTGTGGAGTACCAAGATTGAACCAGGGGATGAACTACAATATCTGGCCTTTGATTATACCTTGTTTTAGGCAGCGTAGCCTGTGACCAGGGGAATCGCTCGGTCAAGTGTTTGATGACACAAGAAATAAGCGATCTACGTTCGCGCACTTCCAGTTGAACGAACTAGGACCCTTTCTCGAAAGCGATTCACACACCCGCACCGGCAACGGCAGCTTCGAGGTCGTGGTTACATGCGGTGCTTCGGCCACAATACGTGAAGCCAAAGTCTAACCGATGCCAATATGTCTAAGGTATTCCTTCTGATGCTCCATGATTGGAAAACAGGTGGCACGATACTTTGCTTTCGGTCAGTCCGCCGTCGCGCGTCAGTATCCCTTTCGGCCGCGGTCGGCAGAAACTAACCACGCTTTATCACTGCTGTCATTTCCCTCTTGTGTCGTTGTCAATGTTGCTCCCTCCTTCAATACACGCAGAGGAGGACAAGATGGACGCTGTCATGACCCTCATGAACCCGGCCTATCGCCTCAAATACCACCGCCAGACCTACGGCGACGACGCGTACCAGGTCATGCTGCCTGTGGCGTCCACGCTGGAGGAAGATGACACCCTGCTACCTCCTCTCCCCGTGGATGGTCAGGCCTGCGCTCCCAAGAAACTCGGGCCGAAAAAGTTCAAGAGGATCGCGGGGCGCGGGGACAAGTACGCTTCGTCGTCTTTCAACACGCGAGATTCTGAACTCGGCCCGGCTGCATCCGGAACCACGGCGGCTCCCTCTCTGTCGCAGGGGGTGCCACAGCGACTCCCTCTTCGTCACAGGGGGGGCGTGCGGGCGGATCGGTCACGGTCGGGGGCATGGTGATCAACTTGACACGCCNTGGACGCTGTCATGACCCTCATGAACCCGGCCTATCGCCTCAAATACCACAGCCAGAACTACGGCGACGACGCGTACCAGGTCATGCTGCCTGTGGCGTCCACGCTGGAGGAAGATGACACCCTGCTACCTCCTCTCCCCGTGGATGGTCAGGCCTGCGCTCCCAAGAAACTCGGGCCGAAAAAGTTCAAGAGGATCGCGGGGCGCGGGGACAAGTACGCTTCGTCGTCTTTCAACACGCGAGATTCTGAACTCGGCCCGGCTGCATCCGGAACCACGGCGGCTCCCTCTCTGTCGCAGGGGGTGCCACAGCGACTCCCTCTTCGTCACAGGGGGGGCGTGCGGGCGGATCGGTCACGGTCGGGGGCATGGTGATCAACTTGACACGCCAAGTGCCGCCCGCCGAATGACGACGTGTGTTGCCGTTTTTTTACGTGCCATGTACTACGAAATATTTTATTTTCGTGCCGTGCGCTCCCCGGTGAAGCATCGGGGATCGCGGGCCTTGACATTCATCTAGCCGACGACCAAATGGGGGTGATGACGATGGTGAATAATTGTGGGCAGGGAGGTTTTAGGATCTTTGATACTTTCGTCTTTCTTTCTTTGGCTTTCGCGTTCCATGCGGTATGTTGGTCAAGTTCAATGCAAGGCACAAGCGAGTGTGCTTACCCTTTCGCTTTGCATCGTTGATTTGTAGCACACACCTTCTGCTGACTAGGAACTTCCGCTGTGTTGGATAAACCGGGTAGGCCGAAGCTTGTAGGTTTGTGGAGAAAGGCAGCTCGGCCAGTGAGGGCCGAGATGGGAAAGTCTTGTATTAGAGGAAAGAGGGAAGGGCAGAGACCACTCCAGGCCGAGCA